GCTAATAGGACCTTTTCTTTGTAGTGTTCTAAGATTTCATAGGTATCGTTCTTTCTTCATGTATTGTTCTAAGTATTGTATTGGCTCTTTCAAACTGGAAACTTAGGTCTTTTGATTTGGGGGAATTTTAACGATTTATCTGTTGATGATTTAATCCCATCTTTTTCCTTTATTCTCTTTCTCTAGAGCTTCTTTGCTTATTGCACATATAATTTTAATATATATATTATGTATGAAAATAAATTATATACATATAATTTTATAAAATATATCTTAAGCTCTCTGTATAGTCTTTTCCTTCAAATTTCCTTTCCTCCAGTTCACTCACTCAATCATTGAATTTTTATGTCTGGTGACCCTTGATTACCTGCTTGTATTTAAGAAAGGGGCACTCACTAAAAAGCTCATTGGCGGCTATGTGCACTTGAATTGGGGACTCATCATCTGGTTTGATCTTTCACCAATAAATCCCTTTGTCAGTATCTTTTGTTCCTCTTCTTTGGGACTGGCCAGACTATCCAGAGAAAAATCTTATAATTTCCTGCGTAAAGGAAGTAAACCTGGCTGCCACTGTTCTGTGCGCTGAATAGAGAGCGCTCAGAACTTTAATATTTTGTATGCATGATAGGCAGAATAACAGCTCCCTAAAGATGTCAATATCCTAATGCCCAGAACCTATAAATGTGTACTTTATATGGCAAAAGAAACCCAGTAGATGTTAAGGATCTGAGATGGGGGAATTATCTTAGATGATTTGCATAGGCACACTGCCTTCACAAAGGTCATCATAGGACAAAGAAGGAGGTGACTGTCAGAGTCCCAGAAGGAGATATGATAATAGAAGCAGACACTGGAGTGATGCAGGGCCATAGGTCAAGATATGAGGTGGCCTCTAGAAGCTAGAAAAGCAAAGGACATGGAGTCTTTCCTGAACTTCCAGAAAGAACACAAACCTGCTGGCCCAGTGTAGACTTCTGGCCTCCAGAACTTTAAGATTATAAATTTGTATTGTTTTAAAGAACCAGGCTTGTCCTAATTTGCTATAGCAACAGCAGGAAACTAACAGAGTATGTAAACTTTCACCTAATGTGCATCTTTTCATTATAGAACCTCCACTTTAAGCTTTGTCTGCTGTTTCATCTTTTCTAGGGAGGAACGCTTGAGTCTTCTGCTTGAGTGAGAGGGGGACAGTTGCTTGGTTCTCAAATAGACAAAACTACTTCCTATTTTCAGCCAGTCTTCACTTCTGCTTCCAGAAATACTCAGTGATACCCATCCTTGGACTTTTGGTGGCTCTGTGGGGAGTCAGACAGCTTGCCTCTTTAGTAGCCCCACAGCTGGCTTAAGGGTATCACTTATTCTTCTACTTTATAGCTTCCAAAATTCTGTCACCATTATTTGCCTTCAGTTTTCATTGTCTTTGTAGTTCCTCTCTTCCCTGCTCTCTGGTTCCCCAACGAAAAAAAATTACCCAAGTATTTATTATTGCTTCATTGTGATTTTCTGACATAGTAGAGGTACATATGCATGATCAATCAACATTGACAAGGTTAAAAAAATGTTAAGTGCTATGATTTTATACTGATTTTTCCCTGGTGTGGTACTGGATGGTATGTATCATACACTGAGAACATAACATTATGCTGGTAGAGTTGTAGGTATGTTAGTATGACCTGTGGGAGCTAAGAAAATGGTTTTATAGGAGGGCGCTCTGGGTTTAAAGGCTTTTCTCACTTACTACTAGTGTGACTTTCAGCAAATTGCTTAACGGAGCCTCAGTTTCCTCATCTGAAAGTATCTGGAAACATGGTAGAAACCACATTTAATCCACAAATAAATTTAAAGAATGAATTTAGACAAGGTGACAGATAAAAGTGCGTGGCCACAGTATTCCTCCATTGTGGAGCAGAAATACAAGTGAACTGAGATGGACTCAGTTATATAGATGGTACTTTCTGTGCCCCTCCTGTATGTAACAGGCTTCCCAGGTGGCTCAGTAGTAAAGAATCTGCCTGCCAAGCAGGAGACATGGGTTTGATCCCTGAGTCAGGAAGATTCTTTGGAGCAGGAAGTGGCAACCCACTCCAGTATTCTTGCCTGGAGAATTTCATGGACAGAGGAGCCTGGCAGGCTACACAGTTCATGGGATCGCAAAGAGTCGGAGACAACTTTGGGACTAAACCATCACACTTCTACATTACAAGTACTTAATACAACATTTGTGGGATGAATGAATGTCTTCTCTTAATAAAGCATTTCAGAAAACAACAATGAATATAGCCATTCTTTAAATGCTACATGAACCTTAAAACAGGCAAAACAAAATTTTTTTAAGTCTTTAAAATTTTTCTTCCCCATCTCCTTATTTTCATTCCCTTTAACAGAAGACTGTATTTTAAGCTTTTAATTGTTCCATTTTCCTGAAAAAGTCATGGATGTGAGATTAAGAAAGAGATAAAGAGCAATCTTATCAGTTCTCCTCTAGAATCTAGACTATCCTCCTAGGTTTCTTATTTCCTCTCCCTCATTCCCTTCCCCCTCTAAGCCATTTTCCACACAGCAGGCAGAGTGATCTTCAAAAACAAAATACATACCAGAGTGAATCACTCCCCAACTTAAACTCTCTTATTGGCTTTCTATCTTTGTTGGAATAATAAAAAAACAACAACAACTCCTTGGCACAAACTGCAAGACTTTTCAAAACTCCATTTTCATCTTTAGCCTCATCTTATACCACTGTCCTCTCTCTCTTGCCTTGCAAAGTATCTTGGGTATAGTCATTCCTCAATACATATTTGTTGAATAAGAGGATTAATTAACAAGTGATCAATGAACATATTAGAAAGAAAAAGGGATAAAATTTAAAATATACCACTTTAAGGGCCATGATCTTATTTTCAAGTTTTCCTATTGGGTCAGGTTAGAAAATTGCTGTGAACCTAACAGCTTGATAAGTGTTTACTTTCAACTTTGTCTTTGGAGTCAAAGGATGGCCTTGGGAGAGAAGAGAAACTAGATGAGAGAGGAGATAACTAACCTCCTTTCTAACTAATAGATAACTAACTAACAGGTAACTAATCTGCTTTCTAACTAATGAGCTGGACAGTGTTAGGGAGAGAAGATGGCTACAGTGAGGCTAATAACCCTTCAGACAGACAATGTGTATCTAGTAAATATATATAATCAATAAATATTTGTTGATCTGATGAATAAAAATTGCCTTCTTACTTTACCATATGCTTTCCAAACTACAAGTAACCCTGTATAATTTCCTACTTAATGCTGCCACCGTAGATTACTTCTGCCTGTTTTTAGCTCTTTTTTTTTTCTTTTTGATAGAGGAAAAGTCAACTTGCTATTTGTTTAGAGTTAGGTCAAGTCATACTACTTTAAGGATGACTATTCTAAGTCCAATTTAGAAGAGGACCATTTAGTATTCTAGTTTATAAGTATTTCACTACACATTCACAAAAACCATTTTCTTTCAAAGTCATTAGAGATCTCACTTCTTACATCCAATGTAATGGTTGAAAAAGGAGCCTGTTCTAAGAAAGAAGGAAGAGTTGAGCTACAGTTTAATCTAGATGGCAATGCCAATATGTTGTTGAGCATTTTCTGCTGTGGTTCACTTGGCTCCAAGGGCAGACAGCACAGGAAGCACTTACATAAAAAAAGATGAAACTGATCTCGCTGGACTGAAAGAAGGTGTCCAAGTCCACAGGGGCCCAGGAGCTGGCAGTGGGTGGTCTGGCAGAGTTTTGACACACTATTATGGGATAAGATTGTGAGTAACTGGAGAATCCCTTTTTGGCATATAAAAGATGTAATTATCTGGTAGTTCCTCGAAATTCTTCAGCTAGACTTCTATTTATTCAGCCAGTGATGGCAAATTACCTCAGCTTCTATACCAGGACAACACATCAGTAATGGCTGCGGGAAGTCTAAAATGAGAAAAGTTCTGAGGTCATATTTGGATTTATCCAGAAAGTGCAGTCATAAGTTAGCCTGTCAGCTGTGAGTTTTGGAATCAAGATTGGTATCACACCACATATTGAATATCTTTTCTTTCAGGCTTTTTTTTGGGTCTTGTCAAAATCTAGGTAATTATATCTAAAAATCCATTTAATTTTCACTTAAGCTCATAAGTAAGTACTGTTATAATCTTTTTTTTTGGGGGGGGGGGGGAAAAAACTAAAGGTATAGCCATATTGTTTCCAAAAGTATATTGTCAATTACTGGTGGAATTTATATTTGAACACACGCCTTCCTAACTCCAGAGCCCAAGCTTTTTACAACTATATAACCTTCCCCATGAATTTTAGAGTACTGATATTTAATGCTGTCATCACTCATTTATGCCCTAGAGTGAATGAGCTCCTTTCTATCATTACCAAAGATAGAAAAATATGAAAGATTAATAAGTTTGGAAGGGCTGAAGACAAATTAGTTACTTTACAGCACTGTTTAAAACTGATTCTTAGTCTAAATACTGAAAACATGATTTAGTATATGTCTACTCTAGTCGAGGAAATATGAATTAATTCTGGATCTTTTCTATACCATTTATATTTGAGATCCAACCCAAGTAGAAGTACTATTTTCAGATGTGATTTTTTATCCTTTGAAATGTTTTATTCAAAAAATTTAAAAATTTTTATTTTATTTTATTTTTTATTTTAAAAGTGTTAGTCACTGTGTCATGATGAGTTTCTAAATGCAGGTAATTGTATTTTGTTTTCCTTAAACACTTAAAGGATGTTCTTTTAATGGAGTGGTCTCTCTATTTATGGAAACATATTACTTCCCCCAAGTATTTCTTTCTGTAATTAACTGTTAAAATCATTTGTAAATATGCCAATTAAACCATTCATATAAAACAGTTTGGAGTTTGCCCAAAGGCAGGGGAAAATACAAAACCAAAATATCTTCAAGTATTTTTTGTTGGTGTTAGAAATGTCAGTGTGTTGTTTGATTTCTTGAATGTTCTTTTTCTTTTACAGAAAAATCTATCATTGCTCAACCAATATTTGTTTTTGAAAAGAGAGAACAAACTTTTAAGGTAAGGTCAAGTTACTTTTCTTTGTTTGATTTTTACTTTGACAAAGAAGACAGTATTTTGAGAAGTTAGCTGTACTAAATGATATCACTGCTGCATAAATTTATTCTTTTGCACATAGCAAGAGTTGGAACTCAGAATATTTACATAGTAGGGATTTACTGATAGCAATTTGGCTGAAATGGGAAGCCAGAGACCTTACCCCGAAACTATGGATAACATAATTTTTGCCAAAATTATCTGTTTTTTTTTTTTTTTTTGAAGTGACTGGGAAGGGGGAGGGACTGAAAGAGATTAGATGAGTTAAGGCTCATCACGGGTCCTGACCACTGACCTAGCTTAAAATGGATATAAAATAAGCTCTAAACTGCAATATATGATTCAAAAGAAATCTTAAGGACTCCATTTGCTTTTTTCAGCCTCATACTAAAATCACTTACTTTGAAAGACATGATAGTATTAGTAGCATTTTAACCTCAGCTTAACTAGTATTTTGTTGTTACTCATTATTGCTTATGGAGACAATTTACCCTACTACGCCCAAAACTAAAGAAAAACCCAACCCCTAGTGAGCTGCTTTTCCTAGCCCAGCTGAAAAGACCTGGCTTTTGAGAACTCTCTTATGAAGCGACAGGGTGGAAATGTTATTTGAAAATAGCAAACACTCAGCTCTCATTGGCAGCTTTGCTTCCTTCCAGAGACCTGCAGAAGACATCCTGTACGAAGCAGCAGAATGTGGTAATGATTTGTATCTTATATTTCAAAAGCAATCTTTTTATCAAGAAACAAGTAGGGAAAAACATTTTGACATGTGGCACAGACTATATAAAATCGAATCATTTTTTCTTGTTTTTAAACACACAGATAGACTGGCTTTTGTTTTGAAAGATGACATACAGGGCCCTGAAAATATTATGTTAGCAATACTAAAAGCCTATGACTCTCCACTGCTTGTCCTCCAACCTTCCAAAAACATGCTCTATACAATTTCAGAATTTGTATACTATTTTTTGTCAAAGCCACTTGTGTCTAACTGTTTCACAGTACGATGATATGCCTGTCAGTTTATAATGACCAAGCTATTAACCCCAATATTTAAAACTGAGTTTCGGGAATTAACATGTTTTCAAACAATGATATATCTAGAGAAAAGGAAATTATATTTCTCCTCTAATATCATGGATTGAAACTAATTTGTTATTGCAATCAATTTTACCCTCCACATTGAATTTCTTACAGAATGCAATGAGTTTTCAAGAAAGCGTTTCCGGGCTTCATCTTTTACTTGGCATACTACAGCTTCTCAGAACCAAGGAGGTAGGTATAGCCTGGGCTGTTGAGCGTTCACTGCTGTGTGTACTCTGAGTGTGATACTACTAGGAAATTTTCAGACAGGCAATGTTTAAAAATATACCCATTGGATGGTGTTTCTAATATATTGTTATGTGAAAACAGCAGTCTAAAGAATACAGTGAGTTATTATTTAAAATTCAACTTAGCAACATCGGAAAAAAAGACCGAGAGGACATAAGCCACGATGTTAATGGTTATCTTAGATAAAATGGGACTACAAGGTATTTGAACACCCACCTCCCTTTGTATTTTGCTGTGTTCCTAAAGTTTCTGCATTACAGAAACTAGCTACAGAATTAACTTTACAATTAGGGCAAACTGCGATTTCCTTCTAAGGAAGCCTGGAAAATCCCATGGATGGAGGAGCCTGGTAGGCTGCAGTCCATGGGGTCGCTAAGAGTCAGACACAACTGAACGACTTCACATTCACTTTTCACTTTCATGCATTGGAGAAGGAAATGGCAACCCACCCCAGTGTTCCTGCCTGGAGAATCCCAGGGACGGGGGAGCCTGGTGGGCTGCCGTCTATGGGGTCGCACAGAGTCGGACACGACTGAAGCGACTTAGCAGCAGCAGCAGCAGCAAGCATCTCCTTAAACAGATGTCTGCCTTTTAAAAAGACACTTTTTTTTCCCTAAGAGCTTTATCATATGCTGTGTTTTGAATAAATCAGTAACTTGGTTAGCCTCTCTTCTACACTCCAAGCATTCTGGTGACTCCGATTATGATGCATCACAGGCCCTCTTCTTGCTATGCAACTGTTTAAATGCATGTCTGTCTCCTCCACTGAGAGCTCCTTGAGGTCATCTTCCTGCCTGACAGAGGGTCTCATACATGATGAGCATGCAAATATTTACGGAATTGATATCATCCTCACCAGAGGCACACTATTTTTAATCAATAAAAATACAAAGTTTTTTCTAAACTGATGATAAAGAAAATTTTCCAAAACAACAAAAATCCAAATGAAAAGATAAACAAAACCCTATTGACTTCAGCTTGCAATCTGTTTTTAGCATCACCCTTGTCCCAGAAGTGACTAACACTGTCATCCTTTCCGGACCTTCCAACCTTCCCTCCTTCTGGGCCAGATAATAAAGAACTTCTTAGAACCTCAAGTCTGACACTGTGACTTTTCAAGATCCATTCTCACTCATGATAAGCTTTCTTTTTCAGCTACTGCAAAACATTGACATTTTAGTGGCAAATAAACTAGGGGTCTTAGCAAAGTACGCATGGATGAATACCTTCTGAATTCTAGCCCCACAAATCCACACAGTATCTGTTTATTTTTGGTAGAAAATTTAAACTTGATAATGTTCTTTAGGGTTTCATGATTATGGTAACATTCTCTTACATAATGCAGCCCTATAAAATAACCTGCTTTATTTTTCTTATTATTGTCCATTTAAATGGTTTATAATATTTGTAGTACTCAAAATATATAGTGATGCTTAGATTCTCATTCTAAATTTTATGCTTTAAATTTATATTCTTAAGTTTAGGATATCATTCCTTTTGAATTTTTCACTAATTAAAATATTACTTCTTTTTATTTAAATTATAATGCTTTGCTAAGTAAAACTATTTTATCATAATAAAATATTTGAAATGATTGAAACATGCTCTATGTCAGGATTATGATTTTTTTTGGTCTTTTTTTTGAAAGTGTGCAGTTCAGAAGCATTAAGTATATTCACATTGTTGTAAAACCTATTTAATCTTTATATTAAAAAAAAAAACACCCTTAGTAACAGATTCATATAGCACCTGAAGGTATCAAATGAAAAATTAAAGTCTCATTGTCATTAGTTCCAAAAGAAATAAGATTTGAAGTCTTTCATATTTTTGTTTTTACTGAACAGCAAACTGCTTTTTCCAAGTTAAGCTTTTCCACAAGAAATAGAAAATACAAACTATTCACTTTCTTTTAAGGGATTCTACCCAGGAATCACATGAAACTAATGAATTTGTATTCTTATTAACAATGCCAAGTGTGACTGTGCATCAATATGTCAGACACCTTTCAGATACAGAAGAGAGAGGTCCTAGTTCAATAAGCCCCATCTATACCTGCCTGACAAGTTATAGACATTAAGAGGAATAGGGGTTCTAATGCCAGAGGATTTGTTTTGGTGCTATTTGTGCATAAAGCAAAGAGATGACTTTAAATTATCTGGATAATCACTTCAATTCATTTTCTAAAAATCAGACACACACATGAAAAGGATGAATAAAATATTACCAAGCACCATCACATTCTATGTTGTGCAGAATGTTGGTGGTGTTGGAAGGAGACAAATAGTACAATTAAATGGTTCATTCAATGTTATTTTTCAATTATAAAGATCATGCACGTGTGTGTGTGTGTGTGTGCTCAGTCACACAGTTATGTCTGATTCTTTGTGACCCCATGGACTGTAGCCCCCCAGGCTCCTCTGTTCACTGGGATTTTTCAGGGAAGAATGCTGGAGTGGGTTGCCATTTCCTTCTCCAGGGGATCTTTCTGACCCAGGGATTAAACTCACGTCTCCTGGGTCTCCTGCACTGGTAGGCGGAGTCTTTACTACTGAGCCACCTGGGAAGAAATAAAGATCATAAAAACCAGGTAACTGAACTTTGAATTAGAGAAGCAATTGTATCCCAACGTATATAACATCATAACACTTCAAAAAAGCAATTCTTATTCTTTTCTCATCTCCATTAATCCAATTCTCAAAGGCTGCTATCTTTGCAATTTGCCACCAAGAGGTAATCTCTTTGAGATTTGTAGTATAGGCATACCTCGTTTTATTGAGCTTCACAGATATTACATTTTTTACAGATTGAAAGTTTGTGGCAACCGCACCTCAAGCAAGCCTATGGGCTTCATTTTCTAAAAGCTTCTGCTCACCTTGTGTCTCTGTGTCACATTTTGGTAATTCTTGCAGTATTCCAAAATTTTCAGTATTATTATACTTTTTATGGTGATCTGTGATCAGTGATCTTAGATGTTACTACTGTAATAGTAATTTGGGGGGGGCACTTTAAACTGTTCTTATGTAAGATGGCAAATTTAATAAATGTGTGTGTTCTGACTGCTCTACCAGCTAGTCCCTTCCGCCATCTCTCTCACTGTCTTCAGGCCTCCCTATTTTATGAGATAAAACAATATTGAAATTAGGCCAATCAATAGCCTTACAGTGGCCTCTAAGTATTCAAGTGAAAGAAAGAGTTGCATGTCTCTCACTTTAAATCAAAAGTTAGAAATGATTAAGTTTAGTGAGGGAAGAATGTCTAAAGCCAAGATAGGTCAAAAGCTAGGGCTCCTGCACTGAATGGTTAGCAAACGTGTAAATGCAAAGGAAAACTCCCCAAAGGAAATTGAAAATGCTTCTCCACTGAACACATAAATGATAAGAAGGTGAAACAGACTTATTGCTGATATGAAGGAAGATCGAGTGGTCTGGATAGAAGATCAAACCAGCCACAATATTTCCTCAAGCCAAAGCCTAATCCAAAGCAAGGCCTTGACTCTTCCCAGTTCTGTATAGGCTGAGAGAGCTGAGGAAGCTGCAGAAGAAAAGTCTGAAGCTAGCAGAGGCTGGTTCATGTGGTTTAAGGAAAGAAGCTGTCTCTATGACATCATAGTACAAGGCGAAGCAGCAAGTGCTGATGTAGAAGCTGCAGCAAGTTATCCAGATGATCTAGCTAAGATCACTAAAGGAGGTGGCTAAGCTAAACCACAGATTTTCAATGTAGATGAGACAACCTTATACTGGAAGTAGATGCCATCTAGCACGTTCATAGCTAGAGAGAAGTCAATGCCTGACTTCAAAGTTTCAAAGGATAGGCTGACTCTCTTGTTAGGGACTAATGCAGCTGGAGACGTTGAATAGAAGCCAATGCTTATTTACCATTCTGAAAATTTAGGGCCACCAAGAATTATGATAAATCTACTCTGTGTGCTCTATAAATGGAACTACAAAGCCTGGATGTTAGCACATCTGTTTACAACATGATTTGATGAGTACTTTAAACCCACCATTGCAACCCACTGCTCAGAAAAAGATTCCTTTCAAAATATTACTGTTCCTTGACAATGTATCTGGTCACCCAAGAGTTCTGATGGAGATGTACAGTGAGATTAATGTTGTTTTCATGCCTGCTAACACAACATTTGACCTTCCCAGGCAGCTCAGTGGTCAGTACAGAATCTGCCTGCCAATACAAGAGACATAGGAGATGCGAGTTCAGTCCCTGGATTGGGAAGATCTCCTGGAAGAGGAAATGGCAACCCATTCCAGTATTCTTGCCTGGAAAATCCCATGGACAGAGGAACCTGGCAGGCTACAGTCCATGAGGTCCCTAAGAGTGGGCATGTCTGATCAACTGAGCATAGACAGAGACAGAACACAGCATTTATTCTGCAGCCCGTGGATCAAGGATTCATTTTGACTTTCAAATCTAACTATTTGACATGTACATTTTGTAAGCTTTTTGCTGCCATAGACAGTGATTCCTCTGATGGACCTGGACAAAGGCACTTGAAAACCTGGAAAGCATTCACCATTCTCGGCACCATTAAGAACATTTATGATTCAAGGAAAAGAGATCAAAATATCAACATTAACAGGAGTTTGAAAGAAGTTGATTACAGTCCTTACAGATGACTTTGAAGTGTTCAGGACTTTAGGGGAGGAAGTAACTGCAGATGTGGTGGAAATAGAAAGAGGACTAAATTAGAAGTGGAGCCTGAATGTGTGACTGAATTGCTGCTATCTCAGGATGAAACCTGAGAGATGAGGAGTTGCTTCTTATGGACGAGTAAAGAAAGTTGTTACCTGAGACAGAATCTACTCCTGGTGAAGGTGCTGCAAAGACTGTTGAAATGACAACAAGGGACATAAACGTAATATTCATAAAGCAGGAGGGCTTGAGAGGATTGACTCTAATTTTGAAAGAAGTTCTGTGACTAAAAGGTAATCAACCAGCACTGCATGCTACAGTGAAATCATTCATGAAAGGAAAAGTGAATTGATGAAAACGTCATTGTTATTTTAAGAAGCTGCCACAGCCACCCCAGCCTTCAGCAATCACCACTCGGATCAATTAGCAGCCATTGACATCAAAGCAAGACTCTCCACCAGCAGAAACATTATGACTTGCTGAAAGTTCAGATGATGCTTAGCATTTTTCAGGGATAAAGCATTTTAAATGTAGGTATATTGCTTTTCATAGCAATAAAGTATTTTAAATTAAATTACATATATTGCTGTTGCACACTTAGTAGACTACGGTACAGTGTAAATGTAACTTTTATATGCACTGGGAAACCGATGAAGTGAGTGTGTGACTCAATTTATTGTGCCACTCACTTTATTAAAGTGGTCTGGAACACAATCAGCAACATCTCTTTGGTATGCCTGTAATTCTATTCTTGCAGCCAAGACCACAGTCTTAACCCATCAGTTCGCATTGATAACCTAGCATAATGGTCATCTTTACTTCTCTCTTCAGGTATCATTAAAGAGTAGGGAAGGGACAGAATTTATTAACAGTTTTATAACATTCTGTAAGAAATATATATTAATGCACATAGATGGTTCACTATCAATTAGGATTTTATTATCTGTAGAATTTCTCTCAGTACTCGATTTCATGATTCTGAAGAAGACTGTCTATTTCATTAGTGACTTAATTTTCACTTATTTTCTGAGAGTAAAAAGACTGCAGCAAAGCTCATCTTGCTTTTACACTTTTTAGTAGAAATCAGCGCGGGCATGATTAGTGCCAACAGCGACATCTACTGGTGAGTTCAGTACAAGACTGTGAAAACAGAAACTTGTTCACAGGTTTAAAATTTTCTAAATATTTTTTACAGTGAAGAAAAACAATGTTTTTATGACATCAAACTCTGTGCAAAGGCATGCTGATCTGAACAGTGCAGAACAAGGTATGTAGCTTCCTTTATTACATGAAACTTGAAATGTCAATTTCAAGGTTGAGTGACAAAACATGAAGGAATATATTTAGTAAGCAAAGTCCCATGATCAAATTGAAAGTGAACTAAAAGTTACTCTGTCGTGTTTGACTCTTTGCAACCATATGGACTGTAGTCCATGGAATTCTCCAGGCCAGAATACTGGAGTGGGTAACCTTTCCCTTCTCCAGGGGATCTTCCCAACCCAGGGATTGAACCCAGGTCTATTGGGTAAAAGTTAGTCAGGAAGACAGAACCAGGCAACTCACTGGCTATTTTGACTATTTTGATTGGCTATTAGTTGACATTATGGAGAAGGAAATGGCAACCCACTCCAGTATTCTTACCCAGAGAATCCCGTGGACAGAGGAGCCTGGTGGACTGCAGTCCATACGGTCGCACAGAGTCGGACACGGCTGAAGTGACTTAGCATGCATGCGTGCATTGAAGAAGGAAATGGCAACCCACTCCAGTATTCTTGCCTGGAGAATCCCAGGGACAGAGGAGCCTGGTGGGCTGCCGTTTATGGGGTCGCACAGAGTTGGACATGACTGAAGCGACTTAGCAGCAGCAGCGGCAGTTGACATTAACCCTTCATTTAATCATGACTTTAGAAAGTAAGCATTAAATTAGTAAGAAATTGAAAGAAAAATTATTTCACTAAAGATACATTGACCCTTTAATTCTGTTCTTTTAAGGTCCTGTGAAACATTCTGAGCTTGTTCTAAGACCTGCTATTTTGCAGCCTCCTCAAGCTCAAGGGTACATAAAAGTGAGAAAATCATTTGGACACAATGTGTTGGAATCCTGTAAGGTTAAAGAAAAAAACAAAAGTAAGGTAAGAAAACCTCCTACGGTAGGAGTGATCTCAATTTCCCATCCTTCTTTTGATAGATTGTTGTGGGTCCCCACATCCAGAATTAGGGGCTACTTGATGCTGAAGCAGCTACCAGGCTGGAAGAAAAGCTGGACAAGATAGCCAGGAGCCCTCAGTGACTGTACTAAACTTGTCCTCCTAAATTGGAGGGTTGTTCCCAGGAGCAAGTCTTGTGGTCTCTCCTAAGCTGTAAAGCTGAGTTCTGTGTGGTGGGGCCACTTGGGGTCTTGATCTGGGGCACTGACCCCACATGAGAATAGGGGAGCAGTGAGGTGGCAGGGGCCAGAAGTCAGAAATCAGAAAACGGAAATGAATTTTTTTTTTGTATCCCCAACTGGTAGACATGCTGGTGTGGCTTTGCCAGTTTAGATCACACCATGGATCCGCTCCAGCCCATCTTCACAGAGAACAGGAGCAAGGAACTATCTCCACAGTGTAACTGGGAGGGCTTGGGAGGCTCCTGGAGACAGAAACCAATTTCTCTTCCATCTGAATCGCTCCTCGTGGGCCTTTCCAAGGAGATACTCACTTTACTAACATCATACAGATAAGGGTTGGGGATATTCTGTTGCTATAGTTCTGTGTCTTCCAGAAGCAGATCCTTGAGAGGAGGGGGATGCCAGCTCGACAGGTTGGAATTTGAGTTATTCCACCAGTCAGTTGCTTCCAGCTAAACTATTGAGGGTTGATCAAGTTTGGTTTTGTTTTCCCAGACTGAACATGAGAACAGTGACACCTGGAAGTGTTAAAATACCAATCATTTAGTCAAGTCATTGAAAAAAATCAGATCAGTACTAATTCTACCTCTACCACTATCTACTGTGTTTACATTCTTAGACAAAGTCCCAACCTTCTGTTTTTCATCAGTGAAGTGAGGGAGTTGAATCTGGTCGGCATTTGCCAACATTTTTATATTTCCAATTTTTTTCTTTGTAAGCTATGATTTTATGAGACTCATTGTGAATTTTAAAAATCATTTCATCATTTATGTGATATATGTGATTTTAAGTTAAAATATTAAAAAATTTTAAATCAGTATATTATTAAATATTTTCATTTAAGTATAATAATCACCATATTATATAAATTATTTACCTATTTTAAAAGTGATGCATGTTGTTTAATTTGTTTTAAAGTGTATAAGAAAACCTATGATGTGTTGACTAATTTCTGAAATGTTATATTGCATTTGATTTTGGAATAGCATGTTCTATAAATTATAGATGAAAATTTTTACTTACACACTATATCAAAAGCTGATTAATATTTATTCCTTGGCATGATTTTTTAAGATCTTGCATGGCATGGTTTTAAAATAAAATTTATTAATATATTTCCTGTATTTTCTTCCTCAATAATAAAACATTAGAGAAATTTCTAGACTATCATTTGCAAAAATTTCTTCTCAAATAACTTATTAAGGGCATGAATAGAATTTATTCCTAATTGGTGAGAAGTCTAATTGGATATGCCCATTTTCTCTGTTTAATGATGATTTTTGAAGATCTAAAGGTAAGCTATGTATAAGACACTATGTCAGAATTCTGACACAATGATATAATGTATAGATACAGTGAAAATGATCTCCAGGTAAATTTTATAGAATCCTTATTTTTATGTTCCTTTTAAAGTTGTATTTCAAAATTAGAGCAATTTTCTTTCATTCTGTCATTAATCAGTGGTTAGTTGTTGTATATAACAAATAATATATTCCTAAAAAACTATTCCAAGCAACCTATAGAGTTTAAAACTACCATTTTGGTTGAGAGATAAATCATCTGAGTGACTGAGTCATAAGCATATACTTCATTCTTTGCTAACCGATGACACATACTCTCTTGACACACATTTCTCAGCTCTCAAAGTCTGTTATATATGGAAAACTACTCAAAATTATTTTTGATTGATATAAAATTAAAGTGGAAACAACCCTATTTAAAGACAAGACGTCCTTGCAACATCTTTGAAAATTCCTGGTGGAGGAAGGGATGTGTCCACAGACACTGAGGACACCAGATCAGATAACTGGGTTCCTTCCAGTTCTAAAACTGCACACTCCTTCATTTACGCATTAATGCAGATAAGGTGCATTTGTATATACACAGCAGATGGAATAACTGATTAAATTACCAAAAGTTTCTAGAGGAAGAGAAGGAATTTCCTCTCACTTTGGGTGGCAACGATGGTGAAGCTCTTAGAGGTTTCCATGGGCTAAATAGTCCTGAAATACATATTTACTAGTCTGGAAATGAGATTTAAGCCCACTGCCTAAAATGGTAAAAGTAACAAAAGAAGGTGGGATTTCTGAATGTTAGTGGTTTTAGGCAGACCCATGCTCCAATGTCAGCCCCCATCTGATTGCCCAGTTCCGGCCATTATCTAAGATTATTAGGTCAGTCTGCTCACCTGAAGTGCGGATAAGAGAAGTACAAAGTATAGAGAGTTGTTTTGCGGAGTATATGAGATAGTGTATAGAAGATGTTTAGGACTGTACTTGAACATAGTAAGTTTTCTATTCATTTAACTATAGCTATTGTTTCCTTGTCTAATGCTTTTATACATAGTAAGGCAGTTTAAATGAACTTTTTGATGGACTTTTTTTCTTTCAGATTTATGAGGGGAACTCCTATTTGCTAAGTGAAAACTTACCAAGTGCCAGAATTTCAATCCAGCTGTCTACTAACCAGAATGCCTTAGGTACTACATCACTACGGTAAGTTAACGATGAGGGAATAGAAATGTTCTTTCATTTTCTTTCTTTTGTCAATAAATTATTTATGGAAAATAATTTTCTGACATTGTACAGACAAACTGCTAAGATTTCTGCTTGAAAGGAGATTTTATAAAATACAAGTTTAAAATGCTTTTAAAAATGTCTCTAATAGTTATATATTATCATCCTGGTATTGGATTGTCCCTACTGTTTCATTGACTTGGGTAAGAATGTCTCAATTAGGTAGAGCTAAACTTTTTATTTAGTTAGGCATTAAATATCTGGCTACTCAATCCTCCTCGTCCCCTGGTATTCTCTTTCCCCTCTTTTAAATTATTTCTGGCATTATTAGGTATTAACATAAATCGGACAGACAACAAAGAAAGCAGTAGAAATATGCAAAGTGAAAATGAATATTTAATAGCATTGCCAGTGATGGGGGAATGTTTGATCGGAGAGAGGAATACAACTAGCTGTGGACATACTGGTCTCATGATTGGAGCCCATGCAGGTACCTCAGCACTTAACTACGGTGCATGCTGTGGATGCAGTAGGGATCCTGAAGCATGTCTGCCAACAGACAGAGGGCTGCATGTCTTTGAGTTTGTCGTTATGCAAAACACTTTAAACATTCAAGTTTCTGGGAGGTAAAAATCAAACTAAATCACTGCACACTCAAGTGTAACTGAGAAGCGAGATCGGCTTTGCTGTTACCCTTAAACCTTGCATCACTAAAAGCACTGGCTAGTTGGGGAAGAGGAGAGTGGAGACTGGAGACCAGACAGTCAGTGCTGGAAAAGCACAAAGATGAGGACTGGGCAGCTCCCCGGCTGATCACACGGCCTCTCTGCACTGGTCTTGGCCAGTGTTGTAACAGCTGTCAGATATTTTGACTTTGATCATCAGAAGTACCTATCTCATTTTTTCCTTCATTTCTCTTTAACTTCAAATAAGCAAAAGCTAGCAGATGTTTTTATGCTTTACATAAATCTATTAAATCATCTGATTATTTCACTAAGGTTTACTATGGCTATATCCATTGCTACTACATTTGAAATAGCAAATGCTTATTTCTTTTCCATAGATGTCAACCAAATGAAGATAAATATTCTATGAAAAGCTGCAGTTCTGATTTTGTTTTTGGAGAAAACATGGTAGAAAGAGTTTTGGTAAGATTTTGGCAAATGTTTCTGTTACTGTATAGAGAGCTGTAACTTCTAATTTCTAAAGGCAAATTAATTAAAACAATGTTAAACTGGAGCATACTTTTTAACTACTGAGTTCAAAGGCACATTTTCCTATCTTTAACTGGAAAGATTCTCCTGGGAAGCAAGTTCTAGTTGTTAGAATAATAGACAAGAACCCACAGAGGAAGGGAATTGTCTAATTATAACATTATTACTGATAAGAAATATTAAATACTTCTTTGATTTGCATTAAATCAAAGGTACCCAAGGAAATCCTAGAATTATCTGCAATAGTTAAGTAAGCTCAACTGGTCATGATATTTTAATATAGTTTTTCAATAGCATTTCCATAACAAGATGAATTTAAAATTATTTGCATTTTTTTTCTCATTAATCACAACCTTCCCCTTCAAGTTTTTACACTGATAGATTTTTTTCTTGCTAGCTGTAGGAGGGAATCGTAGTATTTTACTTGCCTATGGGAATATATTTGCCAAGCGGAACTGCCTGACTATTATTACCACCTTCCTTAAGTATGCTCCTACATGGGGCATCCCATGTGGTAAAGAATCCACCTGCCAATGCAGGAGACATGAGTTTGATCCCTGGGACAAGAAGATCCCCTGGAGGAGGAAATGGCAACCTACTGAAGTATTCTTGCCTGGAAATCTCCAAGGACAGAGGAGCCTGGCAGGGTACAGTACATGGGGTCAGCAGAGTCAGACACGACTGAGCAACTCAGCAACAATCCTCCTGTGTGAGGCAGTTGCTGCTTTGTCCTCCACAGGGTATGTTTCTAAAACAGAGCATGATCCACAGTGGGGAATTATATAGCCTAATGGAAGCTGTGGAGCAAATATGCCCATGGTTTTATTTGGCCCAACACATCTTAATACTCTTTGCACTTTCATCCAGACCAGAATCTTAGCTGAAATAAGACAAGGATGCTATCTTGTCTTAGGGCTATTAGCTACATGAAGAATCCCATGGAGAATGCACAGATTTTAAAACCTGTGCTATGACTCAGAATAACAAAAGGACCAACTCATGAGGTCTGTTTATTCCAAGATTTTAATCAAACCAGTCACTTTTAAGATCTTGCTTATTCTACACCTGCCTCAGGCTCAACCCCAATTCCAAGAGAATCATCACAGCTCTTCAGCTTAGCAGTGCCTTTCTGTCACTCCCAAGATGAAGGTTGGCTCCAGCAATCCTAGAGCTGATGACCCTCAACTTTGGATTTGAACCAGAATGGACCAACTTCCAAAGTGAAGTTGCAGGCAGTATATTTAAGCACATTTATTCTAGATTAGTCATAGCTTCTGTAAGATATCACAGACACAAATACAACACTCTTCAGACCTCATGGGATCAACTTTAACATTTGACTCACTTAACACATGGTTAACACACCGTCTGTGTTTTTATGATACATAAAGCATTGGCACTGGTCTCAAGTTTGGTGGCATATTACAATCATCTGGTGAGCATTCAGAGGACTTTTTATGCCTGGTCACCTCCCAAAACTGGTTAGATCAGGATCTCTGTGGGTGAGGTCAGATGTCAGGTGATTTGAGCGTACAGCCAGGATTGAAAACCACCTGGTTACACAAAGCTAAGGAAGACCCTGTCCTCTGGAGTTGTCTATTGTCTAAAACAGAGAGAGAGAGATATACCAGTACAAATGAACGACAATGGGGATTATGGATTTGGCATGAGGAGGTAGGTGCCTATGTGCGTTTCCTATGAGCACTTCAAGGCTGACTTACAAAGGAACCTGAGCTTCCTGTCTTCTTAAGTGGATAACATTCTAGGATGGCAGGAGCTGTACGAGATCACCTGTGTTTGTCCTTTAGTTAATCCTGTAATCCTGTGGCCCTATGATTTGAAGGCCACGATGCCTCCTGATTTGTTTGCCGGTTATGTGCTTTTAGAGTGAGTCATTAGATTTTCTGTGCTTTAGTTTCTGTTTTCTTAAAATGGAAATAATTATACCCATCTCTACCAATTTTAACAGGTTATCTTGAGACCCAGTTAAATAAAATGAAAGAATCTTGAATTCATAAGGGAAAAGATTTAAAACTAAGCTCTGAAGTATCCTCCAACTCTCCCTGTTCTGCAGGGAGCTATCTAAGCACCATGTGGGAGGTTGTAAATGTCCTGGCAATTACTTGGTCTTTTTTTCACACAGGTGTCGATTACAACACACGTGCAAAAGCCCAGGTGTGCAGCCTTAAAAGTGTTTGCTGTGTCAGAGGAAAAGTTGGGATTCATTCTGTAACGATGATCTGAGGAGACAGCCAGTGGGGTCTTTGGACAACTTTTTAACTTTTTACATTAAATGGATAGAAAGAATGGACAGTTGGGAATACTGAAATAATTTGAAAAAGTGACACTGGTTGCACTTCCTTCAAGGCACCAGGTAGTTTGAAGTGGTAGTTTGGAATAGCTGCTACCTCCTTGTGGGTCTCTAAAAGGTTTCCCGTTGTCCCTGGAACTAGATGCCACCTGAAGTAGGCTGGTGGTAACTAGATTGTTTCCTTAGATCAGAACCAAGATTTTCTAACAATGGGGAGGAGTTCCCGTTCAGCACAAGAGGATCCTAAAACAAAAACAGAGCTGTTGGGTTTGTTTGCCATATTGAGACAGAAGAACAAAAGTATCTCTTGGGTTACTGCAAATATATGGAGATAAAATTAAGCAATACATCTTTTTCTTCCACCCAGGGCACTCAAAAACTCACTCAGCCTCAACTCGAAAGTGATTTATACATCAAGGAAAAACCATTCAAATTCACTTTAAAAATTCCTATCAACTCTCCAAACTCAAGTAAGAATTATTTCATTTGTAAAACATCTGATTCAACTAGTATATTTCCTGTTTTTCCATGTCATTTGTTTAATATCTGTAAAATACAAAAAACCAAAATCCATTGTTTAGAATCTTTGGTGAAGATTAAAGCATATAAATTTGGTTACATGATATAAAAGCCTTAATAATTTTTGGACTTCATGATAGGGGGATCATTAAAGAGATATACCTAAACACAAGCAGTTTGATTTTTTGGAAACACTCATTGTTATAAAAAGCTAAGGAGACATGCATGTTAACAGGGGCAAAAAAGAACTTTCACAGTGGATAAAATGGGGCATTTTATGTGTTCTTTCCCTCTATTTTCTCTTAGGAACAGACACTATTGAAAATATATCCCTAATTGAATCAGCTACTGCTTTCTCTTTTAAACCATCACCAAAATGTTTGCTGGAGAAAATTGATGTTATAACTGGGGAGGAGGCAGAACACAATGTATTAGAGGTCTGTATATTGTGTATTGCTCTTTCTGGAATAAAGTTACCCTCAGCAGAGACATCTTTAAAGAAAAAGGCAGAAGTATAGTTTTCATAAAGACCTGGCTATTTAAATTAAAATGTTTGAGGCTTTCAAATATTAAACCAACATTTTGTTGTATTCTTACATTTGTATGTGTAACTTGCAGGAAAATGGATTACTGGCTTTACATTCATATTAGTCCCTCAGAAAGAAGACAGCCAAGGACCCAGTCTTAAAGTAACTGCAGACCTGTATTTTATACTTTTCATGTCAGCTTGATTATCAGTTATTATCATATGGTTTAAAATTCTATTTACACTGAAAGTTAAAAATGCAGAGAGATAAACTGATTTCAGTTCAAGATAATAAAAATTTTCTTTTTCCTTTAAAAGCTCTTTTTTTAAATTGAAGTAAAGTTGGTTTACAATGTTGAGCTAATTTCTGCTGTATAGAAAAATGACTCATACATATATACACTTTCTTTTTTACATTCTTTTCTATTATGGTTTATCTCAGGATATTGATTATAGTTCTCTGTGCTATATAGTAGGGCCTTGTTGTTAATCCTAAAAGTTCTTTTAAGTAAGTTTTGAATTGCACATGAATCAAGAATTTCAAAGATGTGGTATATAGTATCACAAATAGGATTTGAACAATGAGTGGTGTAGCTATCAGTCTTGGCATATGAAATGTAATTACTATACCTCAATCATGTTCAACAAAGCGCAGATTTCCCTTAGGCTTTCTCCATCTGCTTTACCCCAAACTCTCTTCATTCCTGTTTTCTTCTCCCTTGATCTACTGATATATTTACTGTACAAGTGTGTCTCACAGCATAACTCTCAGATCAGATTAATCCCAGATTCACTGAAGTAGTCACTTGAGGTGAGGCCCTGACATGCTATATTATTATCAAGTCATCTAGGGGATTCTTGTATGCAGTAGTATTTGAGAGCCACTGGTAAGCATTAAATTATAGTATGGTACTCTGTGGTATCACATCCAAGTTCTGATGTTATATTTATTAAAATTTTTAAAGCACACAAATAGTTCCATGATTCCTTAATTTTCAGATAAATCACCTGATTCAAATAACACTTTAATTTAAAAGTTGGTATACATAGATAAATCGTTAAGTGAAAAAGCAAGATGCAGATGTATGTATTCTACCAGTTATAGAAAAAAAACAGGAAAATATATACATATTGACATGTATATACATACAAATATCTCTAGAAGGATAAACAAAATATTTAGCAACAGTGATCAACTGTTGTAGGGGATGAAAGTTGGTAGATGGGAATTAGTATTGGTGGAGCTACTTTTCATTTTGTACGTCTTTTTGCTTTTTAATGTTTGAACTATTCAAAAATTGTATTGTTTTAGAAACTAAATAAAATTTTAAAGCTGGTTTAGAAATCATTAACAAAGGCTATTCTGATAAGATATCAGACAAAAGTGTTATAGCATAGGAAAGAAATCACTTTGAAAAATGTTTCATATTTTGACATTAAAAAAAATTTTTTTCCTTTAGATCAACTGCAAGCTTTTTATATTCAACAAAACAACACAATCCTGGACTGAAAGGGGCAGAGGAGCTTTGAGACTGAATGACACAGCAAGCAGTGATTGTGGAACGTTCCAGTCAAGATTAAGTAAGGAATCATTTTGTAAAGCAAGTCACAATTTTTCAGGGAAGATTTTCCAATATAGTTACACATCATTTTCTGGAGGTGTGTTATGTGTCAGTAGATTAGACTGCTGAACACAATATTATTTTTAAGGTACTATAGGAGCTTCCTGTTTAAAGTAGGCTCTGATGTCAGACCACACAGGTTCCAGGTCTGGCTCCATCACTAACTAGTGACCTTGGATAAATTACTTAATCTCCTTCTACTCTAGTTGCATCAGTTAAAAATGCAGATAACAGAAGTCCATGAATTAGTGAGTGAGTGTGAGAATTCAGTGAGAAAATGCACATAAAGCACCTTTGACTAGCCCAACACACACCTAAATAGTGATCTCATTATTATTTAAAGGAATATGATGGATTTAGTTTTGAAGTGGAATAGTTTTTCTAAAAGAGAGTATTTGTCCTGTAATTTATTCTTGGCGTTTTAAGTGCAGAATGTGGGTTGGGATGAAAGGTCAATTTCCAAGTAAATAAAGGTGTGTGGTTACTGAATCCTGCAGGGCAGAGTGTTGGTCAGAATCTGGTCAGCCAAACTGCAAGGTTGAGGAGGTTTCTGGCATCCAAGAGACACACTGGGCATTGTTCAGAGGTCCAAACTGAATTTGTTGAGATTCAGATATCAAGCTCAAGAAGGGAGAAAGGAATAGAATTCAGACTAAGAGAGTAGGATCACAAGGAAACAGGTTTCTAAATGACCTAAGTATAATTCCCAAGGCAGGTATTAGTTGTTTTCTACTCTGGTTTAATTTCTCTCTTTCCACTACCTGCCAAAAAATGTACAAAACAACTTAAAAAAAAAAACAACTATACAGGTGATACATGTCCATTCAGAAGACAGAAAATACTGACTGACAAAAAGGAAAAAAAAATTAAATTACTCATAGGCCTGTCTTCCTGTAGTAGCTAGCCTCTGTTAACAAAATATATTCTTAAGGACTTTGTATACAATGAATGTGGGGCTCCCTGGGTGGCTCAAAGGGTAAAAAATCTGCCTGCAATGCAGGGGACCTGGGTTTGATCCCAGGGTTGGGAAGATCCCTTGGAGAAGGGCATAGCAATCCACTCCAGTATTCTTGCCTGGAGAATTCCAGGGACAGAGGAGCCTGGCGGGCTACAGTCCATGGAGTTGCAAAGAGTTGGACACAACTGAGTGACTAACACTACTACTAATGTATACAAAACACTGAAAAATTTGTGATACATGGTGTTTATATTCATCTCTAATCTGATTTTTTCTTTTATATAGTATACCATGGTCATCTTTCTACATTAATAATTACCTTTCTTCAGTATTCTTAATGAGGTCATAATATCTTCAATACCTGTACTATCATTTAAGTAATTTCATTTTTTGAATGCTTCAAGATTTTGTTTCAGTTTTCTCCATTGTGAGCAATTCTTGGGTAAATATTCTTCTGATCATTAGGTCCTCAATGGAATTCTAAAATTTAACCATTTAAAAATATTACAGTGAAAGAATATAGCATTTTTAGCACTTAAGCTAAAGAGTCCTCCAACAAAATAAAGCTCAGTTTTGAAACCAAATTATAATCTAGTCAATTAAATTGCAATTTAGTAATGAAAATAGAGTCTGAAAAACAGCTACCAGATTTATTTGCTTTCATAATGGCAAATTCCTCTGAAAGGCTAAGGAATCAACTGTTCTAAAGCCTGATAAATTCACCTTCCTATTTTAGTTATGCGCAATCAAGGCAGCCTGAGGCTGATTCTCAACAGCAAACTCTGGGCTCAGATGCAGATTCAAAGAGCAAATCACAAAAATTTACAAATAACAGCTACCGATTTAGAAGACTATAACGTCAAAGTGTTTTTAATTCAGGTAAGTGACAAATTTCAGTGATAGAGGATTATCCTACTATATTTATAGATTTCTGCAGTCACTAATTTTTTTTCCATTTTATTATACTAACCTGTACCACTGGCAAAAAATCAGTCATTTATTATGGTTGTTTATAGTCTAATCAGTCCAATTCAGTTCAGTTCAGTTGCTCAGTCGTGTCCAACTCTTTGCGACCCCATGGACTGCAGCATGCTAGTCTATACCAGACCTAAATTTGATATGAAGTTTAGAGATTAACTCTACTTTAAAGTAGTCAATTGGTACTGGTCTTAAGACAGCTGTATTGGTATATGCTGTCAAATGTCTCCATTTTTCTTTACTGTTAAAATTATGTCAGCAGTCTTACTAAATCATCAGAGATACTACTGTCAGGATTGGCTCCTAGGAGGCCAGCACAATCCACACCCCGATGCTTACACTGTGTGCTGAAATTGAGGTTTTGAGATCACTGGAAAGGAACCAGTGAGAAATGGAAAAACACAGGGCTAGCAAGTTAAAAGAACCAGTCCAATAGCAATTTCCAATTCTGGACTTGAGCCAATCTCCAAGGTAACAGGTTTGCAACTGCTTTAGCTATTCTGGCAGCAGGAATGCTTGACCTCAAGTATAAGATCCAGGCAAAAGAGACAAAGCTGACATGAGTCAGGTGAGAAAAAAGGGTGGATATCCCCCACATGCTGAGTATCAGAAGATGTGAGAAGCCTGAGTATCCAAGTGACTCAGGTAGAAGATGATGATACAAGTAAACTGGCTTCCACATAATAATGGTAAAAAAAAAGTTGGCAAGAGGCCACTGGTGAAAAACCAAAGATTTTAGTGCACTGTTAGGCATAAGTGATGTTGAGTATTAAAATCTTAGAGTAAAATGCCTAAACCCTGTTTACCATTTAGGCAGATAATATTAGATACTCTGCTAGACCAGATGCCCCTGGCTTTGAGTGGGTAAAGCACTCTGCCTGAGACCAAGTCTGATACTGAGACTATGATTAGATTAGATTAAACTATGACCAGATTCTGCTGCTCAATATCTGGCTCATTCTGACTTTTTAAACTGTAGGGTAATTTTTAGATATTAGCAAACAAAATGCAATAAAAATCATCCAAAATTCCACTCCTAAAGATGGTCACTATTAATATTTTGGTCATATTATATTTTAGTTTTAAAATATATATTTATATTATAATATATATATGTGTGGGTATGTTTATATATACATGTGTACCATATTATACATACTGTATGACTTTCAGACAAGTAATTTAGCCTTCCTCAACCTGATTTTACTCATCTACCAATGGAAGACAATAATAATGTACTTAATAAACTGATGGAGAAGATTAAATAGCTAACATTTGATTGTGAAATACACATATGTAACTTTTTCATTTATCAATGAAAATGAGTGTTTTCTGTTATTAAATTGTAGTCCATTCTTCAAGAATTCTTTTATAGGTGAAAATAATTTGTTCTATTATATACCATAATTATTTCCACTAATTCCATTTTGCTAAATACTTAGGTAATACAGTGTGTTCATTATCATAAATTCTGCAAAGAATCCTCTATGTACATACATGTTATTTTTCTTGGGAAAAGGTTTTGACTGTCTTGACAAATTTATCTCTATAAATACTGAAGCAATTTTTATTCTCACTAGCATTTTCTTATGGTACTTCCTGGAAAATTTTTTTTAAGCTTTGGAAATTTGTTGTTCAAAAAATATATATCATTGTGCTTTTACTTCTTGTTCTGAATTTCTTGAATGAAAATACCTGAATGAATTTGGCAATATGCATATATATGTATATATACACTCTATACCAGTGAAAGACATATTTAACTTTTAATGTAAAAAAAAATCAAGGCAGCAGAACAGTATTTGTTTCAATTACAAATGCTCTCTCAATAATTTTTGTTAATTAACTTACTGAAGAAAAATTATACCTTTGTACATAATATAAAAAATTAAATTAGTGAAAAGTCAACAAATATTTACTCAACACCTGCTATATATCTAATACAATATGAGACACAAAAATATTTTATTTCATTTGTACTTTTTCCCTACAAATAATTAAGGCAGCTTAATAACATACTAACAAAAAACTATAAGACTCTTCTCCCAAAAAGTTGGCATGTAGTTGGTTCACTCCTCAGTCCTTGGCTTTGAAATATTTGGTAGCTCTTCGAAGGATTAGCAAAGAGAAAACTTTTCCCAGATTTTCTTTGAAACTGTGAAAAGATCCAAAAATGTAAGCCACTGACATGTTACCTTAAGGAGTGCTGACTTTGATGATGAAAACCAAGTCGCAGCCAATCCATCAACTAGCTGTGTAGACTCAGACAAGCTGTGCGTTTCTGAGCCATAATTTTCTTATCTGTAAGGGGAAAGCGAAACAAGTATTTATTTAATATATGTACTATATGCTTTCATTAATATAAAAATTAGCAGATAAATTATTGTTAAATAATTACCCTACAGTTTTATTATAAGGATTGAAAAAAATAAAAGATAACAACAGCAAATGTTATACCAGTGCTATTCTCACCATTATTTTTTATATTAATAGTAAAAGTAAAAATGGAAAAAGTATTGAAAAGGAGAAATAGAAAAGTAGAGAAAGCAAGGACCTCTGCTGTATTTATGGTAGAACATCATAGACCCTTTGAATGAGCTTTCTGTGGATCTTCGCAGCTTGCTTCCCTGGGGGCTGAGCCAGTAAAGAATCTGCCTGCAATGCCGGAAGCCCTGGTCCCAACCCTGGGTCAGGAAGATCCCCTGTATACCCTGGAGATGAAACTGGCAATCCACTCCAGTATTCTTGACTGGAAAATCCCATGGACAGAAGAGCCTGGCAGGTGACTTAGTGACTAAACCACCACATGCAGCTTTCAGGGCTGTCTAAGCAAGTGATGTAAAGGAAATGAAAGTTTTTTTCCCCCCTCTAACTCTCTGATTTTCTACACTGTAACATAGTTTGGAGGAAAAATGGTCTTAACACAAATTCAAATATAAACTTCAAATTACAAAATTTCATTTTCTCAGTTAAAAGGCACAGATTGGGACCTCTTATCAAATTATCTATGTTAGGATTCAATTTGGTTCAAAATGAATTGGCTCTTTACCCTTTTGTTTCTAGGGTTATTTACATTCTAGATTTATGCCATTTAATTCTTTCCTTATTAAAAGTGAAAGATTACAAATTTGTAAAGTGTGGCTATCACTGAGTTACTTATATTCTTAACAAATTTAATTTACCTCTTGTAGGCCAGTGCCAAAGACACAGGACGTATGCATGCAGCCATCCATCACCGTCTTGTTGCACTTCGAAGCTTCGACAAGCAGACAGATGCAAATCAAACTGAAAGCCATTCAGAGACAGTTCTCCAACAGTTTAACTATGATAGCTGTGATGAGGATGAAGAGGATCTCATCCAAGCTACTAAAACTAGATCAGGTAAAGGACTTTTCTTCTGTTGGTTTGAGGTTTAAGAAGGAGATCTTATTCACAGCCCTTTATAGGATACAGATTTTTAAAAAGTGGAACTTGTCTGTTCAAAGTGGGTGGGGGTTAGAGCCCTAGATGTTTGGATCTGAGAAGCAGGTCTGAAAATCAGACTTCTACAGTGGCCTGTGTTGGGATTTCACCAAAAGTCAGTCTAATTGTAGTACCTGCATATCATGTGCATATACATCTCATAAAAAACCATATTTACAATGTAAAGTATCCATTGCTACACTGAAACTAATCATATATTCATATTTCTCTTCACTTGTTCTCATTCTCCTATTATTGGCCATAATAAGAGAAATTATAAATACTGGTAATGGAGCCAACAGGCAAATCTGGCTTGAAACACTGATAAACCCTGTTTATTCCCTTTTTGGAATTTGACTGTTTTATTCTCAAAGACTTTCTTTACGTAGGGCAAAAAGTGCTGTTTCTTTAATTACACCAGGATTGGTAAATTGAACAGGCAGTGGAACCACTGGTTAATGGATTTTTAGATTTTAGTGCTTGTCCTGATGAGTGAATTTAAAACTAAAATCCATCATTATACTTGGAGAAAAACCTTGTCAAGGAAACAATAAGCCCAGCTTTATTATACAGATAGAGCTATTCCAATAAAGTCATCCAAGTATTTTCAGTAATAGTTTCATTTAGCCCTGAATTTTGCTCTGAGGAGGACTGACAAAGGACTTACAAAAATAGTATATTAGCAGGCATTTCCCCAGTTTTTGATCATTTAAATCTTAAAGCTATTTTAATCATACATAATTTAAGAATCTATCAAAGAACACGTGAAAACTTGATGAAATAGCTTCCTTGGCCTAGTACTAAAAATGTAATCAAAAGGAAGAATACATGAAGCATGCAGAGCAGGATCATAACCTGCTAGACTCTGAGCCAAAGAACTAAGTGAATATGACTTTTCTTGTTACTATCAAGTAAAAGGTTTAATTATTTTTTAACTGTACAAAATTTGTAAATTAAAATCATTATAACATTTATATTGTCAACATTATAGAATGAGGTCTATTAGAAAATGAGCTGGTATCCATTAAAAGTGAAAGTCACTCAGTCGTGTCCGATTGTGATCCCATGGATTGTAACCTGCCATGCTCCTCTGTCCATGGAATTCTCCAGGCAAGCATACTGGAGTGGGTAGCTATTCCCTTCTCCAGAGGATCTTCCCAACCCAGGAACTGAACTGGGGTCTCCTGCATTGCAGGTAGATTCTTTATCAACATTATAGAATGAGGTCTATTAGAAAATGAGCTGGTATCCATTAAAAGTGAAAGTCACTCAGTCGTGTCTGATTGTGATCCCATGGATTGTAACCTGCCGTGCTCCTCTGTCCATGGAATTCTCCAGGCAAGCATACTGGAGTGGGTAGCTATTCCCTTCTCCAGGGGATCTTCCCAACCCAGGAACTGAACTGGGGTCTCCTGCATTGCAGGTAGATTCTTTACTAGGTGAGTTACCAGGGAAGCCCATCTTAAAGGAAATCAGTCCTGAATATTCATTGGAAAGACTGATGCTGAAGTTAAAGCTCCAAAACTTTGGCCACCTGATGCAAAGAACTGACACATTGGAAAAGACCCTGATGCTGGGAAAGATTGAAGGCAGGAGAAGGGGATGACAGAGGATGAGATGGTTGGATGGCATCACTAACTCGATGGACATGAGTTTGAGCAGGATTCGGGAGTTGGTGATGGACAGAGCCTGGCAGGTTGTAGTAGTCATGGGGTTGCAAAGAGTTGGACATGACTGAATGCCTGAACTGATAAATTAAAAATGTTAACTTGTAATTAAGTGGCAAAATTATTTCATCAACAGATGTCATATTTATGAATAGATCCTATATTCTACCATATTTCATTTCAGGAAAGGGGTGATATGTGACTATCTTCAAACAAAATGAGAAACAATGGGAATAAGGGAAAGTAAATGTCAATCATATGAATCCATCTTTTCTTGCTAACTTTTCACTTAGCACTTTCTCCAGTAAGTGTTGTACATAAATGCTAAATGTAATGGAAGCAATAAAATGTCTGGATTTTTAAACTTGGTTGTCCATGAATCAAGGGAAGGCTTAATTATATGAAAATATTACATTTATAATTAGGAACATTTCCAAATGTTACTTAAAACATACAGATTCTATATGTTTCATTTCCTTGATAGCATGCATATTCATGAGTATTCATGTTCAGTTATATTCAATTTTAAATTTATATCACAGATTCTTCTAGGTGGACCCACAGACAGTCAGTTGCCTGTTCATGACTACTGCTATGAACATGACAACATCTGCAAAGAAAACACCTCACTGAGAAAAATCACCTTGCTGAAAAAAACTAAACCATCCTAATCACTAAATGAGAAGATCCTATTCATTCTATTCCTTGAATGATTTAACAGAAAAATTTAAGAAATATAATTTGTTGCAATTAAAATGTTTCTCTGATGTAGTATAATAATTATGAGGTTTTATATTTTGATTATTGTGAAGAAAATGGAAGACTTTAAGAAACACATGGCCTATGAAAGTTCAAAATTTATCATTTTAAAAGAAGTTAATTTAGAATAATATTTGATTACTAATTTGGACTATTCATCACACTGATGGATACAATACTTAATACTGTAAATTGCTGGATTTGATAAATATCTCACTAAGGTATTTATTGTTCAGTAATATATTGTCTAGCCATAAAACATATTTTACAAAAGTTCCAGAGTCATTTCTTTGAAAAACATTATAACTGCATGATAACATGCTATTCTATCATGTTTTTTCTTCTGGGAAATGTATGTTTGCATTTAACCTTTGGATTCCCTAATTCTATAAGATTATTTATTCATGGTGTAAATTCTTTTAAAGAGAGTATCTATTCTTGCATTTATGTCTATTGCACTTTAATATATGCTTGACTCAAGGTCAGTATCCAATTTTTGTTGAAGGAATGAGCAAAATACATTAGCTATGTATTAAAATAGTAAGTATACAAAAAGTGAAATATGTTAATGTGTTCTTTGCTTTACTTATATAATTAAATTTCCATTAATATTCTAGTAGGTGTGGCTGTACAAAGACTTAAAAAAATATATCATATGCAGCCAAATTAATTTTTTTCTTAAATGCCATTATTAAGGTAAGCCACAGTAATTTCAATAATTTCACACAACAGAATTCTGATGCTTCTCCTTTGAGATGTGTTTCAGAGACACTTCAGGAGTTACACAAGAAAATCAGCATCACTACTTATGGCCACATGTCACTTTTCAATCCAGTATGATTGATCACCCCATGGCATCAAAATGACTTCTGATTATCTCCCCTAAACAATACTCCTTTAAGGGCATCTTAATCTCCTCAAGCTTCCATAACAAAATACCACAAATTGGGTGAGTTAGACAACAGAAATTTATTTTTCACTGTTTTAGAGGCTGGGAAGCCTAAAGTCAAGATGCTGGCAGGTTGGTTTCATCCTGAGACCTCTCCTCTTGGCTTGTAGAGTTACCTTGGTAGGATCTACCACCTCTAATGACCACTTTCTTGTGGGAGAACAGGGAGTGAGTGGGGAGAAAAAGAGAGCAAGTTCTTTGGTGTCCCTTTTTATAAGAACACTGATCACATTAGACCAGGGCCCTACTGTCATAATCTCTTCTAACCCTCATTACCTCCTAAAGCCTCATCTCCAAATATCACTACATTGTAAGTAGCCTTCAACAGATGAATTTTGAAAGAACACAAACATTTAGTCCATAATGAGAAATAATTCACACTTACAAAATTATTTCTTAAAATGTTCTAAACAAACATATTTGGAATAACATAACAGCTTCATTTCTTTGTTGGAGAATAATATTCTAGAGTTACCTTGGTAGGATCTACCACCTCTAATGACCACTTTCTTGTGGGAGAACAGGGAGTGAGTGGGGAGAAAAAGAGAGCAAGTTCTTTGGTGTCCCTTTTTATAAGAACACTGATCACATTAGACCAGGGCCCTACTGTCATAATCTCTTCTAACCCTCATTACCTCCTAAAGCCTCATCTCCAAATATCACTACACTGTAAGTAGCCTTCAACAGATGAATTTTGAAAGAACACAAACATTTAGTCCATAATGAGAAATAATTCACACTTACAAAATTATTTCTTAAAATGTTCTAAACAAACATATTTGGAATAACATAACAGCTTCATTTCTTTGTTGGAGAATAATATTCATTTGGAAATATACATTTGAATATACTTTTTTTTAAAAAGCTACATTATTTTATTATAGTGCCATATATAATAGTAAAAGCAATTATATATGTGCATTTGTTGTCAAATCTGAACTCAGGCTTGAAAGCTTAGCACATGAAACTTGAATTACTCTTTTAGACTATAATTTAGCTAGTATGTTACAACTGTTGCAAGGTTTACTCTTTCCCTGTAACTCTGTAACTACTAAAAGTATCTAACTTTCATTTATTCTTCCAGTGACTATAGAAGAAATATAGTATATAAAATCCTTTACGTCTAAATTAAGCAATGACTCAGGAACTGAAGAGAAGCTAATGCGAGAGAGGAAGAGAGAAAATGTCTAGAGAAGGAAAAAAACAATAAAGAAGAGCTCTAACATGAAGGAAGAATCAAAAGAATGGAAAATCAGGAGTTTTAAGTTTTTTTTTTTTTTAATTCTAAAAGAGTGACTCTGATGCAGAACAAATTCAGAGGAAATTTTTCTTTAGAAGCGTAACATAAATTGGGAGACATCTGAGAAGATATTAAAGAATTGGTTCTAAGATCTTAGCTGGTATGGGAACACTAGGATTATACTAAATTGTTAAAGTAAAGCAGAGAAACAGATTTTCTTTATCTTCCTGACATGTTCTTCCTTGCCCCGTGTTTAGTGTGAAGATGAACTTTCTCAATGCCGCAAACATTTTATCTGAAGATTATGGCATGGCTATTAAAAGTAGAAACACATTTATCTTATGATTTTCAACCCATTTCCACTCTACTATTCCTCCTTATACTCTCTATGCATATATTTAGTAATATTTTGGGGTGATAATAGAAATAGGAACATCTTATAGTTTCTCTTTGTCCTATATCTTCATCTCTGCTCTGTGAAAGTGCTAGTCACTCAGTCATGTCTGACTCTTTGCCACCTCATGGACTGTAGCCCACCAGGCTCCTCTGTCCATGGAATTCTTCAGGCAAGAATACTGGAGTGGGTTGCCATTCCCTTCGCTGGGGGGATCTTCCTGATATCTTCATCTAGCCTTCTTCTTTTTGACTTTTCTGTATCCTTTGTCCTCCTCCTCTTTAAAGTGAAGAGATCAATCATCTAATGATATTTATTTTTACAAGTTACTAGGTAGGTGACTTCAAAGCACACATCTTCTTTCACAGAGCCAGCTTTTATTAAAAGTTACTTAGATAAATACTCTTCCAATATTTTAGAATATTGGTTATTCTAAATACACTCTAGATATATTTAATATGACATCTAATTATATATTTAATCTAAACATTCTTTTCTAAATTTTCTAAATTTAGACTTCTAAATCTAACTTCTTTTCTTTTGATTTAAACATTCTGACAGAAAACATTCTTTTCTATCAATAGTACTGTTTAATTATTTAGTTTTTTGGCTGTGCTGGGTCTTCATTGCTACCTGGGTTCTCTACAGTTGAGGCGAGCAGGGGCTATTCTCTACTTGAGGTGCATGGGCTTCTCATTGCAGTGGCTTCTCTTGCTGTGGAGCGTGGGCTCTAGGTGTGTGGGCTCAGCACTTGCGGCTACTGAGCTCTAGAGGACAGGCTCATGGGCCACAGTGTAAGGGATCTTTCTGAACCAGAGCTCGAACCCATGTCTCCTGCATTAGCAGGTGAATTCTTTACCACTGAGCCACCAGGGAAGCCCCTCAAGTGTAATTTTATACCAAGTTATCAGCTTAATTATAAACCAGCAAAATATTCTCTCTCAAATGTTTTAGATCCATTACTGCCCAAGCCAGGAACCCTTAGTTGTCAAGGGCTAATATCCTGTATTAGAGTATGTGGATGTCATGTTTCAGAAAGCCAGAGGGTGGTGGTATATATCTTTCAGAATTAGAACATACATGAAGTGAGCTGGAGGGGTTGTAATGATTGGGAAGGGTAAATCTTAACTTTTATAAACCTGCAAGTTGTGAACATCACAATTATAATTATTCCCCATAAAATGTTGAGAACAATAAAGCTTGCTTGAGATGTGGCTAACTGGGTAAGTTTATTCACTAGAAAATAACACCAGCCTTGTCATAGATGGGGTCTGAGTATGAAACTCAAACATTATTTTGGTTGTTTTAGGGTAGCTGAAACTGATATTAAATCCACAAATGCCAACACTTTAGTTTGTTTTGCATGGCCAGATTAAACCCACAGTACTGGTAATTTTTTACATCACACGTGAAATTCACAATGGTAATTTTTGACATCATATGTGGAATTCACAGACGTGAATATTTGAAGGTAGTTGACATTTCTAAGATGATATTTGGAAACTACAGCATTGGAGGAGTTACAGAATTAACTGGCAAATATTTAGCCTAATAAATACTTGATAGTATAATAGTTTCAAACACAGGATCACCCAAATTTCTTGCTATCTAATGGACAATTAGATATATGGACAAATTGCTATCTGCCAATCTAATGGACATAAAAGACTATTTCATAATTAAAAAAAAGACTATTTCACTATTACTTTAATTTGCATTTTTCTGATTTCTAATAAGGCTGAGGATCCTTTAGATATGTACTCACTGCTTGTATTTCTTCTAATAAATTTGTTCATAATCTTTGCAAAGGCTTCCTAGCATACAGAAGATAAAAGTCAAGTTCCTAAGCATGGATATAAATTTCATGTCTTTCCCCTGTCTTAAATCTCTTGCCTCACCTCCCACCATTGCCTGCCTCCCTCTAAATGTTCTAGGTTTTAAGAATTGTTATTTTATTACTTCATACCTTTGCACACACTGTTTACTCTGTGGAATTCCTTTCTTACTCTTGCTGATTCTGCCTAATACCTAATTCATCCTTCACGACTTAGCTTGAGACATTCCCAGAAAGCTTTCCCTAACTCCACTTAGGCTAAGCTAAGACGTGTTCCTCCAAATTTCTATAACACCCTGTGTATAATTTTACCATTGCACAGACTGTATGTTTTTCAAGGGGAGAGACTACCTTTTATTTATCATTAGCACTTAGCAGGGTACCTCACCAATAGCAGGCAATCAAATATAATTTGATCTCCATTAACACGTGTTGTATATATAAGACTCTAGAGGTGTTATCCAACAGGAAGCTAGAAATAAGGATCTAAAGCTCTGGACATAGGCTGGGCTAAAGATACTAATAGTAGCTGAAGTTCATGGAAGATGAAGAGGGCTAAAATTTGCCAAGTGTATACCTCATAATGGGCATGTGGCTAGGCATTTGTACATATTATTTATAACTTTACAAGGAAGCTGTTTTCTTTTGTAAATGAAGAATTAGGCTCACAAAGGTTAAGGGAATATAGTTCAAGATTGACAAAAGTAATAAGTAGTAAAGCTGTGATTTGAACCAAGGTCTTTTAAAATCCTAAACCCAGGCTCTTTTCATTACACAAAAGTAAATAAGCTCGTGCAGAAGAGTGGAGAGGGGAAAAAAAAAGAAAAAAAAAGAAGAAGAAGAGTGGAGAGGGAGAGAGAGACAGAGACAAAATGGAAGGAAAGGAAAGGGAAAGATAGGTCCTAAAGATGAGCTCGGGAATAACTCAGAAAGAGGACAGAGGGATGGGCAGAACACCATTAGGGATTGGTGCACTGTCAACCAGAGTAAAAATTTCTAAAGGAAATGATAACCATTTCAAATGAAGGACCAAGTCATTTAAGGGCTGATAAATGTCTTACAAGTTACAGATATTTGGTCACCTTGGAAATAGCAGTAAAGTGGTTGGGAGAAACCAGATTACAACAGGATGATGGATAAGTAGGAGGCAGGGAAGCTGACCAATAATGAACCAATGACTCATTCAAGAATCTTAGCTATAAAGAGAAGACATGTGTGTGAAAGTCACTTAGCCATGTTTGACTCTTTGTGGCTCCATGGACTGTAGCACAGCAGGGTCCTCTGTCCATGGGGATTGTCCAGGCAAGAG